CAAAATCAACCATTACATTTCAATCAATTAAACAAGCACAAATAAGAATTATGTTAACATCAATTAAACAAATCAACTTTTACAAATCACATTTTACAAATCAATTAAACAATCAAAAAATAAGCAATAATTATTAGAGAAAATAACACTTCTACTATTGGATCAACTTTTGCAGCCATACATCATTTTCACGCAGCTCACTTCTGAGATTAACCTGCATAAACCAAACATTTGCTCAAACAACACTTTCTACACATCTAAAACCTACAAACAGCAAATTATTGAATTCTAGGTACTTAACCAAACATTTTCAAACCACAAGCCTATAAACATACCAATTGTTTATGGACATTTTTATAACGCGGATGCAGGTAGGCAGCGTCTCGTATATATCGATCTAGCCATATAATGTCGAAACCACAAGCCTACTGCAGCTCTATCTATATCGGTGGGAGGTAGATACTTTATACTTCCTGTGATCAAACGGTCCAACGCCAAGCATACGAGAGGACCACAATCCCCTCTGGGTCCTTTCGTTTGTTGTGGTGCGGTCTCGTCTCTGTTAACTGTAATATTGAGCTTCTTTGGCTTCTTGTTTCCATAACGAGTCCAATAATTTATCGCATCCAAGAATTTAGCCAAATAAGAGCTCCATCCCTTAATAATATCTCTTAAATCAGCCAATGATATGTAATTTATCATGATGTCATATACTATTGCCTTAAGGGATGGGATCTGAAGCTCGACAAGAAGCCAATAGTTACGTTCCAAAACAGGGATAAACACCTGCAATCATAAGTAATAATTCATTCATTTGCGCACTTATTTATGAATACCTTTAAACTCAATCTAAAATAAACACTAACCTTATCGACCTCCCACCATGCAGGATAAAGTTTAGCTTGTCCATTGCCCAACGCAAATGATTCATCTCGTTGATTCTTCAAGTGAACGGCGTTAAAAGACGTCGGCATAATTGTATATCGTGTATTTCTTTTATTTTCCTTAAGTTTCCTAATTATTAGAAGACGTGACACCCACGCATCGATATGCTGTTTTACAAAAAAAGACATATATTAGTAACTTACATAAATTTACAAAAAAATAATCAAATTAAAATATAAGAAAAATATAAGACTTACCCCTCCATCGAAATAGCCATTGTCTTCGACCCCTAATAATACGCCCCACCAAGACCGATCAAGCAACAAATAGATATCATCATTGAGCTTGCATATGTTAGTGAAACACCCCTGGCTTCGCTCATGTAGATAAAAATCAACTGCGGTCTTAGCCCAAAGGGTGTTATCCAGAATTGTGTCCGGTAGTTGTTTCCTCTCCTCTTCAGATACCGGTATGGTACTGGCCGGTAACTCATACGAGAGCCAACTTGAATCCATCATGTCCGGCACGTCAGAGGGTTTCTCAAGAATCCTACATATGACGCCATGTGAATCGGGCTCTTGAATGGTGGGAGGGACCTCTTCAACGATGACAGTGGCCTCTTGAACGGTGGGAGGGGACTCTCGAGGAATGATAGGGGCCTCTTCAACGATAGGAGTGGACTCTTGAGGGATGACAGGCGAGTCGGGCTTCTTCTTGCGGTGTCTTCGCACTATTGGGGTATACGGAGACTTAATAGCACGTGCACGCCGTCTGATGAGTGAACTCTGTCGTGCAAGAAAAACCCGACGTAAAGCATCCATCTTATCGGTCCGCTAAATAATTAAATACAAATATCAGTAAATAAACAGACATGATATTTAAACAGTGAAAACAAAGATAAATATATTTCAAACTTTCAACCAAAAGACAAAACAAAGACAAATACTAACTTCACAGTGTCAAAGTAAAAAGTTTAGCAGTTTTGGCAGCAACCGAATAAATTTACTAAGCAATCTAAGTGAAATGGTTAATTTAAGTGAAATTACGAGTAAATTTATCATCAAGTTAAATATGGAAAATCTTAAACTTACCTCGTTGCGTAGAGTATGAACCTCATTCTGCAACGATACTACCATCTCACGTAGAGCGGCAACCTCACCACGTAAAGTAGACACATCCACACGCCATGCATCATCGTTATCGAGTAGAGTACCGATCTCCTCACGCAAGGCATTGACCTCATCACGTAACTCCCTTGACTCATCCCGTGGAGGTGGAGAATAGGGAGATAGAAGTCGTGGCATCTTTGTCGGTCGCCTATCATGAGGTGATTGTGGAGAAGAGGCTCGATGATGTGACGGGATAGGCGATGGCTCTCGTTGTAGAGGTGTATAGTCGGGTCGATCAGGTGATGGCTCTGGGTGAGGTGATGGCTCTCGAAGTGGAGGAAGTGGAGGCTGCTCATCATTCGTGCCATCAAGAAAACGCTGACTAGCTTGCCACCAATCAGTGGCAAGCTCAGCCTCCGTGGGTGTCAGTCTCATTAATGGAATGTTGGCCTCCTAAAAATATAAAAACTCAAACAAAGTTAAACGTCTACTATTAATAACTTGTTTATATATGATAGTATTTGTGTTAACTTACATTATTTATTGTCGCATATGGTATTAAGTCTTCCCAATCCAACAGACGTTTCCTCTTCCAGGAAATAGCCCTGGGAATATCATTTGAAGTTTTTATTGCATATGTCTTCATGGCGGGAAAGGCCTCGAATATCCAAATCTACAAACAATATAATAACAAACATTAGTAATTGTTAAATAATTAATTATAATTTTGAAAACATTATATAGAAATTCTTACCTTAAAGGCCCAAACAAAGCCTGACAAAGTGTATTTCGACCCATCGCCCCGCAAACTTTTGCGGTCATCAAAGGCAGACGACAACTTAGTCCAGGTAGCTTTCCATATATACGAACCCCACGGAAACAGATTCCATGCATTTAGGTCCTCTACCAATAATATTAGCTCCTGAGGAATAGGTTGTCTGGCCTCTCTGCCTAAAAAGCCGGCATACAAAAGTAGTAGAAGGCATACTCGGACAACATCGACGTCATTCATCCGAGTAAAACCATCTTTCTTATTAAACAATTTCTTCATGTCGTCGACGTGTAAGTTCGGCTTCTCTATTGACTCATCAGGAAAAACCCTGGATAACCATGATGGGCGGGTGATATGACGAGTGTACCGGCCTACATCATCGTGTCCGAATCGTAGACCAGTGATTAAGCATAACTCCTTCCGCCCAAAACAAGTATACGCCGGTGGAAAATGAAACGATATCTCTTCCTCACCACGTTGTATATTGTCGGGTAGATCGCTAGTCATGGTTTGAAGCCACAAATGGGTCAAACTAGCATCTCCACCCGGATGCTGTACTCTCAGCCATGGCCCGAAGCAGGTTTCTTCAAACAATTTTCTTTGTGCAGGTGAAAGCTTCGAAGCAATTGTAGTGGCTAGGCTAACTTTATTCCTTAATGTCAATGAAGCCGAAAAAAATTTCTACAAAAAAACAATAAACATACTAAGTTAGATATACCAAAAACTACACTGTCAAGATATACCAAAAACAATAAACATAAATAGTAGTTTATTCTTGAAACTAAAATTTGCAACACTGTTTTGTCTTTTGGTTGAAATGAAAATCGCAACGAGATAATGAGAATCGCAACGCGGAAATGACTATCGCAACGCGAAATGACTATCGCGACGAGAGAATCGCAACGCGAAATAAAAATCGCAACGCGAAATGAAAATCGCAATGCGATTTTTGTTTCGCGTTGCGTTTTTTATTTCGCGTTGCGATTCTCTCGTTGCGATAGTTATTTCCGCGTTGCGTTTTTCATTCTCGAAACTATTCTTCTTCTGCATTACTTCAACCAAAAGACAAAACAAAGGCAAATACTAACTTCACAGGCTAAACAGTTTAGCAGTATTGGCAGCAATCGAATGAATTTAATAAGAAATCTAAGTGAAATGGTTAATCTATTATTGAAATTACCAGTAAACTTATCATCAATCTCAATATGAAAAAACCTAAAATAATGCAAAATTTTCAAAATAAAAATAAAAAAAAACTAACCCTCGGAGGTTGATTTTCCATTTCTGAATGATTGTGAGGGATTTTTGACTGTAAATGGTTGTGAGGGATTTCGCCGGCGATGGGGACGGAAATCTTCGGAGATGGGGACGGATTTCGCCGTAGAGAGTGAGAGATGGAGATGAGACTGAGTGTTGTGATTTTGGGTTTGAGGTTATGAGTTGCGATTACTGTGGACGGTTCAGTTTCCGATTTATTAAGAAAAAATTCGTGTTTGGAATTTGAAAAAAAAATACGCGTTAATACGAATGGCGCTATGTAAATCGCGTTGCGAAAGTCAGAATCGCGTTGCGAAAGTCAGTATCTCGTTGCGATTTTGTATTATCGCATTGTGATAGTAAGTATCGCATTGCGATAGTCAGTATCGCATTGCGATTTTTCCAATTCGCGTTGCGATTTACTTATTCGCATTGCGAATTGGGAAAATCGCAACGACAGTGTAGACCATCGCAACGCGATTTCCAACTATCGCAACGCGAAATGCAACGCGAATTTGTGATAATGGAGATCGCGTTGCGAATTAGCGATCGCATTGCGATTTTGTTGGTCATTTTGGCAAATCCGAAAAAAGTTGGTTAAAATCGTATATCATAAGGCATTTTTGGTCACTGAGGCGATTTTCTCATTTTGTTATTATTTTTTTTAATATTTCCGGTAAAAATTTACCTAAAACATTATTATTTCTACCGAAAATATTATTAGGCGTTTTACTGAGCTTGATAATATATCTTATAAAGTGTTACCTAAAATATTATTTTTTTATTAAATATATTTTCAAACCCATTAAATCATCCAACAATAATATTTTCGATAATTTTTTATCAATTTTATTAAAAAACTAATAACAAATTGATAACGTTTTACTTAACAGTATATTAGACACTTTCTTGTTGGAAAACAGACAGCTCCGTCTATTTTAAACAAAAAGCAATGGGCTCTTCACCTGAGCTTAATTTGCTCCCCTCTTCCCTTAACCTTTACCTTTTCTTTTTCTCTCCAGAAAACTAGAAATCTCTTGAAAAAATTATAATAATTTGGTGGAAAATTTCGGAATCTAGGGTTACAATAAAAGGAAGATGGGGTCTTCGGTGGATTCTAATTCTCATGGGAACCTCGACGAGCGGATTGTGCAGCTGATGCAGTGCAAGCCCTTATCTGAGCAAGAGGTATTGCTTCTTTTTGTCACTTTCTTAATTAGTTGAGAACGGATCTGTTTGGAATTTATTGTTTTACGTCTTGATCTGGGCCTTCTTTTTGCTGCCGATCCATTTTTTATGTCGTATTTTGTTGATATTGGATCAGGTCTGTTTTATTTTCTGGATATTGGATCTTTTTGGATTCAATTTTTTTTATTTCCTAAACTGATCCATTTTTTTGTCCGTGTTCTTGCTTGGTTTTCATTTCCGGAATTGGAAGTTTAGTAGTAGTAGATGTAGCCGTTGGCAATTAGCTAAAGAAATTGGTTTTGAGACTTGGACTTGATTGCCGTTGAATAATTGAAGTTCATGGTTATCAGCTGTCTCTTTTGATATATTTGGTTATCCTTGCACAAAAAGGCCTTGATTATCTACCTCCAAAAGTAGCCATATTGGCACAAAGTGGGTGGGTTTCGTCCTTCTTCAAAGGACAAGGTGCAATAATTTGGATTGTTGTAAATTTATTTCTTGCTTTTAACTTGTATCTTATTTGGATGACTTTCTTGGCAGCTAAGCAGCCTGTTTAGGGGACAAAGCAGTGTATTAATCTAGCAAAAACAAACCTTTATTGGCTCACATATCTATTGTGCCTATGCATACACCTTGAAAGGCTGCTTCTTCAATATTTTATCTTTATGTCAGAACTCAGGTGCATTTTCAATCAAGAAAAGAAGAAAATTGATGCTTTTTTTCTACCTGTTGTGATGGAATTGTGCGGAACTTCTTGGTAGAGTGTAATAATATTATCAATGCTTGATCTTCTTGATATATTTGGCGATGAAGTGGAGTTAACATTTCAAACTATGCCAAGAGAATTGTTGCTTACTAGAACTCATTGTTACTCACATCTCCTTTTAAATGATAATGAATTTTCTTTTGAAGTTATTGTTACCTGATGTTATTCTGGATGTCTTTATGAATTAGGTTAGGGTGTTATGCGATAAGGCTAAGGAGATACTGATGGATGAAAGCAATGTTCAGGTGTGCCTTAGCATCCATTACCTCTGTCAACACTCACTTTTATTCTATTTGTTCTATCTCAAGATAGTGTTTCTTTAATGGTGATGTGTGCCTTTTGATTTGTTATTGTCAGCATGCATTTCTGAGTTTATGCACATAAATCCATTTTGTTTTCATATTTGAGTTTCCTAATACATTTTTCCTCAAATATATGGTTAGAAATTAGTTGGTTTACTACAGATTTATGTTGTCTATTTTCTTATTCTGATAAAGTTTTGTTTCTACTGATGGTAAGATGTATGTTTTCTTTTACTGAATTCAGAAATGTATGGTCTCTTATTTTTAGTCTCTGCTTTCTTATATGATGACTTATTACACAAGAGTAGTTTGTGCTATGGTTGATAAACTGATTATGATTTGAATGTTCTTATGTTTGGTGAAAGACAGCCTGTTAAAAGCCCTGTTACAATATGTGGTGATATTCATGGGCAGTTTCATGATCTTGCAGAGCTTTTTCGAATTGGAGGGAAGGTAATTTTTCTGGTTCAGATTGTGATTTTGTGTTTCAAATGTGATGCCGCCTGTGCTGAACTATTTGCAATGCATGTTGTATTTTATTCTTTCTGGTCTGCAGCAGACATTCATAGAATACAATCACAAGTATCATGCACATCCAATTATAAATATGTGCAATAGATTTCCATACTTTGTGGGATGGGGTTAAATGGACTGGCATTATGTTTCAGAGATTTTTTATTTTCAATATTTAGTTTTTGCTGCAATTTTTTTTATCAGTGTCCAGATACAAATTACTTGTTCATGGGAGATTATGTTGATCGTGGTTACTATTCGGTTGAAACTGTAACTGTAAGTATGAGCTTCTATCTTTGATTTCCATCTTTTTAGATGGTTTCTATTCAGTTGAAACTGTAATAGTTCTATATATGAAACCTTAGCATATCAACCCTTTTCTAATTAATTTAAGTCAGTTATGTTTTGTTGTGGTTGCAACTCATGATTTACTTGTGATTGGCTTTTGTTCAGCTTTTGGTAGCACTCAAAGTGTGTTACCCCCAAAGGATAACTATCTTGAGGGGAAATCATGAGAGCCGTCAGGTATCCTTTGTTTCTAAATGATTGTTCGTGATGTATGTTTCAGTCTTTAATTGCTTGTGAGAGCTTATTAAGCAGGAATAATTTGTCAGTGTTCTTTTTATAAGCTGTTATGTGTGTAAGGAAAACATGAATTGTCATCATCATTATCCATTCTTCCTTGAAACTTATTTGTCCAGTTGAGATATATATATAATTTAAACTCTGATTATTGTTTTATGTTTAAAATGCAGATTACTCAAGTATATGGGTTTTATGATGAGTGCCTGAGGAAGTGAGTGTCTTAGAATCTTTTTATAGGCTTATTATTGCCAATGTTGGTATAAATTAATTTTGAAAGTTTAGATTAAGGTTGGATTTTCCTTATTTCGACTGCAAACCATTCCTTGTGATCTTTCATCCTGTTATATCTTTTCATCAATAATACAGGGTGTTCTGAATGTCGTATTTTGTTGTTTGTTAGCAGATTTGCGTATTTTGTTGTTTGTTAGCAGATTTGATGCATGAATCTTCTGTGGCAAACAGATAAAACAAAGGGAATAGATTTATAATAGGAACAAGTTGACATGAGAAATTATTTAAATTGGTATTAGTTTGGTTTAGACTACTAAAAGTAGATTAATTTTACAAAAACATTTTAGTAGTTAAAAGAATAGAAACTACATTATCTGTTACACTATGATGTATACACGCGCACACACATGCTGATCCTATGGTTATTATTATTAGTAGTAGTAGTAGTAGTAATAAGCTTCTCTTTAATTAATATTTTGGTCTTTGAAGATATTTTTTCTTTTTCCATTTTCAGGTATGGCAGTGCCAATGTTTGGAAGATCTTCACGGATCTGTTTGATTATTTTCCACTAACAGCATTGGTTAGTATTGATTATTTACCATTTAGTGGTGTTTCGGATGATCTTCTGTAATGGTTCCTACCTGCTGGGTTTCTTCTGTTTTGAAGGTTGAATCTGAAATTTTCTGCCTCCATGGTGGGTTGTCTCCATCCATTGAAACACTGGATAACATACGTAACTTTGACCGTGTTCAAGAAGTCCCTCATGAGGGTCCCATGTGCGACCTTTTGTGGTCCGACCCCGATGATCGATGCGGTTGGGGTATTTCTCCAAGGGGTGCTGGATATACCTTTGGCCAAGTATTATTTTGTTTTTGCTTTTTTGGTCCTGTGTCTTGGAAATGGTGAAGGACATATTTTTTTTATCTTGCCTTATAACTTCAATGACATCTTCAGGACATATCTGAGCAATTTAACCATACAAACAATTTGAAGCTGATTGCTAGGGCTCATCAGCTGGTCATGGAAGGATACAATTGGGGTCATGTAAGTACTCAACCTGCTTTGATGTTTCATCACGAAATCCGATTTCTTATACGAGATTTGTGTAACTGATATCATTTCTTACACAGGAACAAAAGGTTGTTACTATATTTAGTGCGCCTAATTATTGCTATCGATGTGGAAACATGGCTTCCATCTTGGAAGTTGACGACTTCCAGGGTCATACATTCATTCAGGTAAGCTGTTCTCTAGCATATATATGCATCCTTGCATCCTGATCGAGCTATTTACGTTTTGCGTATGTATAAACACTTGTATGGACATGTTCAAACAGTTTGAGCCAGCTCCGAGGAGAGGAGAGCCAGATGTAACTCGAAGGATGCCTGACTACTTCCTATAAAACAATCGATGAGTCTCTGGCAGCTGGTCCCTGTCAATGGTTGGCAGCAGAAAAGGCCATTGTATAAGGCTAATCACTGATGAGAATCCATGGTAAGGGTTGTTTACTTTAATTATGCTTGAGCATCCATGGCTGAAGAGCCGGCAACACCCTGATAAAAGGCATATGTACCATTTCCAGAAGACAATGTTGACCCTTCATTTATTTATTTTAATTTTTGTTTTCGAAATTCCAGAAATCTGTAGAAGGATGCTGAGTAAATTATAATCAATGCTTTGTTTTTTCTATAATTGAACAATATTGTCTCTCCATCTAGTGGCATTTTTGAACATATTCTCTTTGGACATGATAGGGGATTGGAATTTGACCCAAACCCAACAGTTCTTATGAACTTATGGGGTTGTTTATTTTTTCTAAATCAAATTCGGGTCAGGTTTGATTTTCCTGAAGATGAGGTCAGATTCAAGTTTAGGATGAAAAATACTGGACTCAATGTAATGGCCAAAAGTCAACAATAAACATAAGAACAAAGTAAAAACTCAAATGTGATGGCACTTGGAACGCATGATAATCAAAGAAAATAGATGGAACGCATGATGGTTTTCTCCGTTTGTCATGCAAAGAAAATAGATGGAATGCATGATAGTTTTCTCCGTTGGTCTTTTAAGTTTGATTTGTGATTTTAGGAAAGAAAACGGCGGTGTTACGACCTCAGAATGACTAACCGTTTCTTGATCTAAAGATGATACTAAAATGGATGATGCATGACCTTTTCTGTTTCGTACGATTTTCTATCGGATTTAACTTATAGAACTTTTCCAATGATCCTGGTTTCGAAGTTGTGTGATTAGCTTGATGCCTCGACCTTGATTGCTGGGATTGTATGATGTATTGTGTTTGTAGTTTTAACCGTTAATCTCTTATTTGTTGCAATCTCATTTAGTAGGTAACGGTACGAAATAAATAAGGTAATAATTTAAATTTCAAGGGACAAAACGTCCCTGAAAGTATTTTAGAGGTGACTCGATATAAAGTGTATAGGTTAAAGAAGATTTAAGCCTAACATTCTTTGATATGGTTGTTTTTATGCCTTAAACATGGATAGGTAAAACCGGTGATGAGAATGCTCGTAACACGAATAAGACACCTGCGCCAGCAGCTGCCAGGAAGCCCAAAGTTCAGGATTCAGGCGGCAATGCCAGGGAGGCTGATGGATCAGAATCGGATGACTGATGATTCAATGTGAATTCAAGTTCCATACCATACACGGCTCTTATCCGTCAATGCGATTCGACCGAGGATCTCCATAAGCATTGGCTTCTCGGATTTGCGTTCGAAGATAGTCAGGAGCTTTATAATGCATCATGTTTTAACGATCCATGAACCCCGTATATACACCATTGTAATCCTTCTCTTCTTTTCTGATAGTTCTTTTGACATTATTGTGTTATACCTATTATTTATTTTGGATAAAATACACATTTAGTACCTAAACTATTAATTTTGGTTTATTTCAGTACTTAAACTTTCAAAATTTTCAAAATCATACATAATGTTTAGGCTTTGTTTCATTTTAATACTCGTTAAAAGTTTAACGTCAAGTTTTGAAATAAATTGAAAGTTTAAGTACTAAAACATGTCAAAATTGATAGTTTATGAGCTAAACGTGTTAAGTTTTTATCTGTAAAGATATTAAAATAAAACAAAAACTAAATATTAAGTATAGTTTTTAAAAAATTAAAATGTTACGTACTAAAACGGATTAAAACTAATAATTTAAGTACTAAACTCGTTTATTTTCTAAATTATTATCAGCTTTAGACTCTAAATTTACCTTATAATTATTTGTCTAAATCAAAAGAAATAAACTATAATCATATGACAATTTTTGGGGTACTTTGAAAGATAGCACGTCTCGAAAATTCAGCAACATTTGTCTTGTTTCTTTTGGATTATGTATATGAATAGTTACGAGTTGTCGAATCAAGTAAGATCGAATTTTTTGTTTATCCGAAATTAACGAAAATCAATATTTTTAACTCCATTCGATTAAGTTTGAGTTTAAAAAGATTTCAACGAACTCAAAATTTAACTCGATATCTTATAATAAAATATGTATTTGACGCGATACAATTATATATATATAATTTGTATTTTTATTAAGTAAAATCAAGACCTAATTAAAATAATAGTATAAAGAGTGATATTGTTATAATTATTCCTAAATATATTAGGGATAATTAAAGTATCAGTTAAAAAATAAATCTAATTAGACCTTACGATTATCCTTAAATAAGGACTTAATTAGAAAATAAAGAAATAATAATATAGAGAGTGATCACTTTTGTAATAAAGAAAAAAAATTAGATAAGATATTTTCATATTAAATTCAAATATGATTAGATTTTGAACTTGTCATACCTTAGTAGTTAAATGTCACACCCCAAGATGGGGTTAGATTTCTTTTAGTTTAAAATATATGAAATGATATGATGTTGGTTGGCTAATAATTATTTTATTAGACCATTAAGTTATTAAATAAATTGAAGATAAGGAGATAGGTTGAATGTGTCCAAATTGTTGGATGAGTGATTGATTAAAATACATGGATTGATTTGTTTATATATATATATTTTAAATATTTGGGAACCACAACTTGAAAAGATATATTTTTAAATAAGGATAATGGTATGGCAGTGGAATCCATTTCTTTAAGCTTTCACTTTTGCAAGCTTTTGTATCCACTAAATCCCACCGAGAAAGTTGCTTTAGTTTCAATGGACGCAGCCACTATAACCGCTTCATCTCTGCAACTTTCCTCAGCTTCCACTTATGGAATTTTGGAGCGGAAGCTATGTCTGCCTCGCATGCAGTCGAGTTGCTTTGGACATGGGTTTCTCCCGAGTGATTCTTGAAGGAGACAAGAGGTAGTGCAAGGAGTCTACATGCATGGTATTGCCGCTTCATCTCTCACGATGGAAACCGAGTGGTGTACTTTCTGGTAATTGATGCATCACTGGGACTCTTTGACCGGTTATGGATTTAGGAAGCTCCTAGGGGTGGCGAACTTAGCTATGACAGATCGATGTTGGCTAGAGACCCTCCATAACTTCGCTTTCTTATACCTCGTTCGTGATATAGAATCTGATACAATGACAAAAGATTTTGATCCAAAAGCAAGTTTATACACTGAGCCATGCTCTATAAACCAATCGTACAAAGAGAAGGAAGTGAGAAAAAGGTGGACGATGCAATCACTCGAGCAAGTCCAATGTGACTTTCGGTTCTGTATTGCCGTGGGGGCCAATGAATTATCAACTACTTTTGTTTATTGAAATTGCCGCGGGGTCCAATGCATTTTCAATTGTTGCATTTGCCGTGGAGACCATTCCATTATCATTTTATTTATTTATTGCAAACACATGGCTATTCAAATCATTATCAATCTCAATGTCAAACGTGGAGCCGCATTTATTTGATTTCCACGTACAGCTTGGAATTTCGAAGAAGCATATGGTAAGAATTTGGCCTTGTCTCCTAGTTTTCATTAGTTTTTGTTTATGGCCCAATAGTGTAAATTATTTCGGTTCAGTCTCTATTTTTAGTGATTAATTATTAAAGTAACACCACAAGTATTCTATTATACAAATTGGATTTCCAAATTATTATTTAAATTCTAATAAGCTATCTTTATGGCGAAGGAAATTATTTGGATACGAGTTAGTAGTTTTGATGGCCTGGATCGTGAGGAAAATATAGGAATTTGAATTAAAGATCGAGGGCGTTCGAATGGAATTTAATGGTCGACCAGTATGACACGGAAAATGAGGTAATACTTTACTACCTCTTTATGCTTTATGGAACATGTTGATATTGGTAAATGCATGAATAAGATAATGTTGGTCACTTTTGTGGAGTTGAATAATTTATTCACTCGATATGAATGTGGTAGAAATTCTGTAACTGAATACGGATCGAATGACTAAGATAAGAGATTGATAATTGTTAGAATTAAATTACAAGTTTGTGATTGGTGATAAAGAAATCAGCTCTGGATTTGTAACTTATATTTTATATCATCAAGGGTTAAATGTTAAAGATACTTAGATGAAAAATTATGAGAATACTCCGATATGGTAAAATTACGAAATTACCCTTATGTTGGAAAATGATAAGAATTGCCCCTGGAAGTTGGTTAATAACTCTGAAAAGACATATTGATCCAATATAACTACTGATGTGCATAAGAAATGTTAGTTTTATTTGGAAATTATGGATAACCGGTTTTAATCCTATGAGAGTTTGTGAAGGAATATTTCAAAATCAAAGAATGTTCGGGAAAGCAATTGATCATAGGATCTCTAAATTATAATTATTTTCGTTAAGTGCTAATATTGAAATTATTTGGTTAAGAAATTACGAAAATTCCCTTGAGAGATAAAATAGTCTGAATTGACCCTGAATGAGAGTACTTTGAGGATTTGTACTTAACTCGATTAAGTACGAATTTAATTGTTAAGATCCTGTCTTTGTACAGAAAAATTTATAATATTCCGTTTGTAAATCTGAGAAGACACTTGACCCGAAAATATTCGAATAAGGAGTAAATACTTGAAGAGTAATTATTGGAGGTATTCTGCTGATAGAATTGTTCGAAAGGACTGAAGTAAATGATAAGATTGAATTAAATAAAGATCGGATGGAAGGAAATGATTGAAATATTCTAGAATTATAAAATGACCAAATTACCCTGGAATGGAAATAACTCAAGATTGTCACCAAGCTCAGGAATAAATGGATATACTCAAGCTTTGAAATGAATAGAAAAAAATGTTAAGCACCACAAAATGACCAAAATGCCCTTATGACCTAGAATAAGTAAATGTCTTGGATTAGTTAAGAAATCCAAATAACATGGATGTACCTGAATGATATAAGTATCACTTGAATGTTTGTTCATCTGCTCAAATTTGGATCGATGATAATTCTGGAAGTACTTGGCGCA